TTTCTCTCTTGGGTAGTCTTAATTTTTTTTCATCCTTTTTATCTTTTTTTGTGGTCTCTATTTTGAATGTTTTATGTTTTCTTCATATCTTTGGTTGTCCTTGGTAGTCTGCTCATATGTAAGAGTGAAGGAAGCAAACATTTATATAATGCTTAGAATATGTCAGATACTTCTTTAAGCTCTTTATCTATTTTAACATATTTAATCCTTATAATGACCTTACAAGTTAATTGCTATTATTATTATCCCTCATTGACAGATGAAGAAACTGAGACACAAAATGTTTATGTGTCCAGCGTGACACAGTAAGTGGCAGAGCTGGGATTTTAATTGCGGCATCTTCATTTCATAATCCCTTCTTTTAACCGTTATACTGTTCTGCTTCTTATTGAAATCAGGAGCTAATTAGAAACTCTGTGCACGTGGTGGAGTTTGTCAAAGTAGTATTCCCTGAGGTAGCTGTTTCTTTGTGGAACTTCTGATGAGGTTCTTTTCATGGGTGGATTAGATTCAACAGAGAAGAATTCATGGATCCACTATAATCCTTTGGGGGTATCGAACTAGCTTGTTTTTTCATGATGCCATAACTTTTTTTGCTGGTTTCTTCCCATCTGAAAACTCTTTTGTCAGCTCAGGGCTGATAGGATTGCAGTATGCCTGGGGTTCTTTTCTGGGATCTCTCCTACTTAGTTAGAAAGAGGAGAGGTCCCTAGACAATGCTTTTGTGTCCTACTCCAGTGGATCGACCCAGTGGATACACTGAGAGTCTGTAACTTAGCTTTTCTACGTCATCTTGATCCCCTGTGGTTATCACAGTCCAAGCCAATGCTGGAGGATATTCTTCTGGATTGGTGGGTTCATCCCCAGGCCACTGTTGGGAGCTCAGGCAGGGGGTTGTGAAGTCCTTTCTCATGGCACTGGGTGATGTAACCTTGGCTAGTGCCTGGGTCAGTCATGGGACCTTACCAGGCACTTGGGAATGTCATGGGACTGCCACCATTGGTGGGGTGTGTTACAGGACCTTGGCGGGTGTCTGCGTGCTTTGCAGGACCTTAGCAAGTGACTGGGCTGGCTGGGGGAATGAGGCCAGTACTGGGGCATATCCTTATGGCGTTGTGTGCTGGTCCCTAGGCTGCTGTTGGAGGCTCTAGCCGGATTCTGCGTGATTCTTTCTCCACTGAAGCAGGTGTTGCAGGAGGTTGCTCTGCCCTGGTCTTCCCAGGTGTTAGCAATGGCTGTTTGCTGAGGCTATCTAGGTGGTGGCCACAGGTGTCAGGGCTGAGGGTGTTTGCTCCATCCAGGTCTAGATGTAATGGTAGTACATCATGGGGGGTGGCGGCTTGTAGCTAGCAGTTCTGTCGTGGAGAGCTGGGCTGCTAGCATAGTGTCACATGGTGCTGTGGGTTGTGGCCCCCTGGCTGGCATGCAGGGCCAGAGGACTTGTTCTGGTGGTTGAGCTTGGTGCTTTGGTAGCATGGCTTGTTGGCTGGCTCACCAAACTAGGGTGCCTGATCCACTGCTGAGTGTGTAGTTCTGTGGGGCTGTGCACCTTATGTGTTTGAGGCCCGGGGCTTATTCCTTCAATTGGTGCACAGCCCTGTGAAGGTACTGCCTGTCGGTTGGCACACAGGTATACAGGGGTGTGGACCTCTATTCAGGTGTGGTGGGGTACACCTTGGGGCAGCAGCGCATGGGCCTGGGGCTTGCTCCACTGGTTGGCACACTGGCCGCAGGGCTGGGCTGCTGGATGGCTAGAGCTCTTTCTCCACACAGCCTGCTGAGGCCGCTATCATGGGACCTCTTGAGTGTCCTTGGAGTTCTCTGGTTGGGGGTGGGGTGGACAGGACACCTGGCTGCTATTCACAGGTGTGTGAGAGCGTCTGCTCTCCTTGTTTCCTCCCTGGATCAGCAAGAGGCAAAGTTGGGGCAGCTGGAGCGAAGCCCGGGAGCTCCGGACTCAGAGCTCAGAGTGGCGTCAGCTGCTGCAAACTGGGAACTGAAGCCACAGGGTCCCTGCTGAGCCTGCTCTCTGACGCAACTTTACCATGCAGTCTCTAAGCAATTCCTTGATTGGTATGGAGGTCTACAGGGGGGCACCTTCACCCCCAATTCAAGTTGCATTGTCCACGTGGGGATCACGGGGTCCTGGGGCTCTTTCCTTTATCCCTTCCCCACATGTAGGGGTCTCCCCCAGGTACCTTCAGATCTTGGTGAGTGAACTCCTCATCCCTGTCTCCTTCACTGTGAGTGCCTTCTGTTGGTGCTCTGACGCTTTGCAGTGCTCTCCCCGAGAGAGTCCATTCGTAGGTGGGCATCTACTTGCAGTTTCCATCCTCTCCTAGAGAGCGGTGTGTGTGGGCTGTTTGCAGTCTGCCATCTTGGACCCAATCTACATTCTTATAATATTTGTATAATAGTTTAATGGGCTATAATGTTAAGTGCCAGCAATATACTAAAACGTTTCATAGGAATTCTTGTTAGATAAAATAATGGTTTAAATGTATCCGAGTAGCTGAAACTATAAAGAAGCCCACATTTGTACTATTTCCTTTTAAAACTAATTTTCTATTTTTGTATATTGTAAATTTTGATTTTTACACATCAATATGGTTAATTTTCTTTCCTCTTATTCTTTAAAATGTTAAGAAGGAAACAACCATTGTGGGATTTGAAACCTAAATTATACGGAGAACGATTATTGCTTTTAACAATATTTATTTCTCTAGTACTGTATTTTAAGAAACTTTTGACGCTTTGTTTTACTGTCTTAATAATTCTTTGAAAATAAAGAGAGGATGACTGTCATCTACAGTTTTATATGTAAAAGTTGCTGGGTGTGGGAATCATCAGTGCTCACTAATATGTTATTTTGTAGAGCTAAATCAGTACTGATGGTATTTGATTCATTACAACAGGCAAACAAGCTGAAATGATTGTTAGGCATGGGTATTTGTTTTTGTTTTCAAAGTTGCTGGCACCTTACAAATAATTTATTGGGATGCGACTTATGAAAACACACAGAAACGTTAGTCTAAAAATTCTTCCTTTTGAAACCATATTATTTGTGCATAGTGTGTGTAGATGCTAAAAATATTTTTTATTTGTCTCTTGAGATTCATGGGATACATATGGAAAATACAGACTTGGTGTTTATAATTTGACTTGGTTAATTCTCAGTGTCTATATCATTCTTTCATAATTTCTTCATGAAAAATGTAACCATATACAGATTTCTATTCATTTGCAACACAAAATTAATGTGGAATGCCATTTCAAGCTAACCATCATCAAAAGTTTCTGAAAGTCTGGTTTATATTTTTTAAGTGCTGTGTGTAGATGGCTTAGTTTTAATTTTTGGAGAATACATCTTTTAAAAAATTTTTGTCAGATTGCTAAATTGTGAGCAATGGTGATTGTACTGTTATCTTATTCTGATTAATTTAATGCTCTTTTGATATTATATTTTCCTCTTCATATTTTTTAGTGTCATTACCTACCAAGTTTCTGTGAAAATAAATTTGCTTTGCCTATTAAAACAAAATCTTTCAGGTTAATGGTTTTTACTATTAATTTTTAAACAACTTCCTGAGTTGTTTTTTAAAATGCTTTTTAAAAGCATTAGTATTGATTTCAGTGAGAAGGTACAACATGGCTATAGATAACTACTTAAAACAAATAACCTTAGAAAATGCCTTTAGGATTATTGTTTAACATATATTTTAATTTGTGTAGTTGTTTATTTTAGAAATGGGAGAGTATTGTTTTCCTGTAATCCAGTCCATCTTGTATTACTGATTGATTGAAACCTAATTGATACCTGGATGTGTTCATTTTTGAAAGATAGAAAAAGAATTTACTAGGCTGATCAAGATAAATCAAGTCATATATTCATGGGAGACTGGAGATGAGAAAAACACAAGCTATATCCAGAATTCCTCTCTTCTTTATTGTTAAAAGTATGTAAGAGAGACAAGCAATAGGATAATACATGCTTTATTTTGTCCTAAATGTATATCGTAAAAAAAGAAAGTTATTATTAACTAGAGTATCACTTGAAGCTAGTGCTTCACAATTATGGGTTCCAAGTCATAGATTCAGAAACAAAATCTACCTGAGAATATATCTTAATATATTTCACCTATTACTTATTTTATTTCCTCAGGGTTTATAGCTCTTTCATGTTTTGTTAGGTAAAGCTTATTCTTTTTTAAAGCCCAGGTACTAATGGTTTTATACTTCCATTTTTATGATATACATTTAGTACAAAATAAAGCATGTATTACCCTATTGTTTGTTTCTGTCTTTAACATACTTTTAACAGCAAAGAAGAGAGGAATTCTGGACATTAGCTTGTGTTTTTCTCATCTCTAGTCTCCCATGAATATATGACTTGATTTATCTTGATCAGCCTAGTAACTTGCTCCACATTTTTCCAAAAGTGCAAAGCAGTTTCAGCTAAAAATACACATATCAAAATGCTCCAAAAGTTGTGGCCACAGCTCAAAAATGCTGATCAATTTTGAAAATCTAAATCAGCCTCGGCCATGAAACCGAGGGAAGAACCTTTGTGGTGGGGGACAGATTTCCAAAAATTCACCACAGTCCTGTTCTTAGCTGGAGTTTGTGCTGATGTTGCCAGACAACTGAGGAATAGATGCAAAAAGCAGGAAGCATTATTGAATTGAGCCCTAGTGCCAATTTGGGAAAAGCAAATTAAAATGTAAAAGAATATTTTTCCACTCCTGGCGTCTCAACATAAAATGGTAAAATACATGGTTGCTGAAAAAGTTACAGAAATTGCTAATTTTGCCAAAGAGTAAAAGCCCATTACCAGTTCTTTTTTGTGTTAAAAAATGCATAAATAGTTAAAGTTTTTTTTTTTTAACCCAAATGAAATAGTTTTAACTGACAAATCAAAATATACATACATTTAAGTTGGAGAAGTATTTTGACATAAATGTGTATATGGGCTTGTTTCAGTATCTTTTGGTATTTTTCAGGTGCAACTTGAAGAATGGATGATGATGATTTTGGTGGTTTTGAGGTATGCACTATTATTTACATTTGTTTGTTTTAACTTTGTGGTTTTATAATGGAGTAAACCATTTTGAAAATGTATTATTTTTCATTGGCATTCATGATCTTTTCTTTATCAGTTTGAATGTAATTCTGGAGTAAAAGAATGCAATCAAGGACAATTAAAAAGCATCCTCTCTGAAAGTTAAAATTGATTTATTATCATCAAACATTTGGCCTTGCCCATAGGAATGGTTTAAATTGAGGCAATTAAGTGCTACCAGTGGAAGCACTAAAGGAAAGATTTAAAAATTGTCAGCAGATGATTTGCTAGGATACATCTCTCTTAGGAAATACTTTTGAGATGAGGGATGGGTATTAAAGATCCTGTCACATATTTTTATGTTTACACCTGTAATGAGTTATTTAGTATGTTAAGTACATAGTGTTTTGGTGGTTTATCAAACTAATTAGTATGTTTGTGTTGTTAGATTATTCTCTCAGGTTTGAGTTGGATACTTTTTAAGTGGAAATTGTTAGCTGAAGAAGCACTGTCTTTTCCTTAATCCTTTTCAATGTGTGTTCATTTTATTGAAATATTTTATAACCCAGTTATTTTTATGGAGCCAGTGTAGTCTTGCAGGAAAATCTCTGGATTAGGAGTCAGGATGCCTGAGCTCAAGTCCTGGAATTACCATCAAGTGAAATCTATGCTTTTTTTTTTTTAAAGACTTTCACCTAGTTTGGATTTGGTAAAATGGGATTGTGAAAGTTAGGGAGTATAATTAATGACATTAGTAGGAGAAATAAACTATTAGGTATATATTCAGTGGTCTGAATTTCATGAAAGAGTGGTGTGAGTTTAGGTTGGGATATTTTTCTCTTTTGATCTTTAATATCTATCAATATGGAGAATGGATATACCTTTTTTTCTGTGTCTCATGTAAAAGGGGTTTTTGTTTAGCACATTTTTTTGTGTTTTCTGCATTTTGTTTGCTATTTTAGGCTTTGCTAGATGATTGAATCTTATTTATGGTTACTGAAATGTGACATTTAAAATTTTGTTAAAATCTCTTTCATTTTGAGGAAAATATATGTTTCACATATCATCTGACTTAGTTTGTTACTTGGAATTTGTTAGTTATTTGAAAGTTACAATCTAGCATGGTCTCCTTCATGTATTTTATCAGAGAAGAATAGAGTGGCAAGCACCCCTTACAGTAATAATTACACACTGTTCTTTTCAGTATTACATAAATACAGTGTCAATCAGTATTGCAATTTAATTGTAATTATTATTAGGTCCCCCCTCCCCAATATTTGTTCAATTTTCATAGTTTGTGGAGAGGACCTTCCGCGTTCTACGTTACTTAACTACTGTGGTGGATTGCCCCACTTAACATCTCCCTTTCTGACAGCTCAATGAAGAATCCAAATTGAAATTCTGGCTGTAATTTTCAGTAATAATTTTGCTGTGACCTGAGCACTTAGGAGACATAAAACTCTGCACTCTTACCCACAAACTCAACATTTAGGAATTGTCCGAAAATAGGATGGCTTGTTGATTGAAAGTGTCAGCTGTAGAATTCTCTAAATGTAGGAATTCTCTATTAGTAAGTCCAGTTAGATTATTGAAGAAGGTAGATGAATCCTGTTTGTTTAGATTAATGTCTACATCTTGTGCTCGTTAATTAAAAAGATTTGGTCTCTAAATTTTTAAAGGAAAAAAAATATTTTTTTACATAGATGGATAAATGTTGTAGTGAGTTAAGTTAGGATACTTAAAGTTCACAAGTGAAAATGGTTAAGGATACATAAAATAAAAATCTTATTGAAAGGAGATTTATTTGAATAAGGAACAAAAATTTTTACTTGAAGATAATAAGGCATAGGTACTGGGGGTGGTGAGTTGTGGTGGGAGGGTAGCAATGAAGACTGAAAAGCAATTGGATATTAAAAGGGAATATGAAAGTGTGTGGGGTATTACAGAAGATAATGCTTGTAGAACTTGGATGCTTGATACTTAAATAGCATTACTACTTTTCAGATCTTCTAAAGTAATCTTGCCTTTGCTTTGTAGGCTGCAGAGACTTTTGATGGTGGAAATGGTGAAACTCAAACAACATCGCCTGCTATTCCATGGGCTGCCTTTCCTACAGGTATTGGTGTACAGTAACTAGGAGTTGTTTTTTTTTTTTTTTTTCTATTTAACATTTTCACCTGTTCTTTGAAAGCCTGTTTCTCATCTTTTCACTTGGCCTTCTCCAGTCTCAAAATGGAATGACTCAGATTGACTTTTGAATCTAGGTTTTTAAAAAATAACAAACTCTTAATTGCATAACAAATTCCATGATGGTGGCTTGAGCTTGGTTCTAAAAATGATGAGAACATTAAATTATATTAAAGTATGATCTACATTTTCTAATTTATCTTAATTTTAGGAAGGTGAAATACCAAATAACTTTTTTAGATTGTCTAGTTCGTTAGTTAGACTCCCTTTTTATATTCTGAAAATAATTTATCATCTCTACTTTTTTAAATTTGTAAGTATTTTTAACCTCATTCAAAAGTGTTGAAAACTAAAATTGTCATCTATGAAGTTAAATATGAAAATAAATTCCATTATTGATGGACATTTCACGGAAGACCTAATATTCAGTGTTAATATTCATATCTAAGGAATATATTGAGCTTACTAGACTTTTCTGTCAAATCATTTTAAAGTCAGGAGTAGGAGATGATGGTATTTTCAACAGCTGTACCTAATCCTAGATTGTTAGAGTTTTTCATCCTACAATTATTCAGTGCTTCTAATACATTAGGCACTGTGGGAATATAGAGATGTATAGAACATGATCCGTAGTCTGGTAGTCCTTTACTTCGAGGGTAGATAGGGCAGACACATTCATATTTGTAATATGAAGCAGATTTGTCATTTGGGAAGATTGATGATTTTGTCATCCATTCATTTAGCAAATGGTTATGTCATGCCTGATATGAGTCAAGGAGTATCCTCAAAGCTGGCTACATATATTGTTGATCTGGACTTTGAAGGATGCATATCATTTCAACAGGCAGATATGGGAGAATGGGGAAAAACTTTGAAGGGAAAAGATAAATGGAACAAAATTGCAAACAGCAGAAAGGGATGGCATTGTTAGGGTGCTCATTTTTATTTGGGGCTTTATGTATGTTGTTTCCTTTGCTAAAAATTGTCTGTCTTATATTTTCACTGCCACTGTTTCCCACTCCCTTACCATACTCTTATTTTTTAAAAATGTTTTATTTCTTGGTTTAGTATTTATTTTTTTGGGACACCTTCCCAGTGAACCCTCTCATGCCAACACATCTATTATCTGATTTTTATGTTAAATTGTAAGTTTTGTGGTGTTAAACACTATGTCTGCTTGTCCTGTTGTTATATCTTAAATGCTGAGCATGGTGTCTAGCTTATAGCTGGCTTCTTAATAAATATTTATAGAGTGAATAATTTAAAAGATGAATGAATGTATTAGTAACTGAATGAATAAATAGATTAGATGGCAATGGAAATGGATAACAAGAGTTGGGATAATAAATGCTATTTATATAATGGCTCAGGATTTAGTGTGCTGTCATGTTTTTGTTTATGGTAAGGTAGGCAAGGCAACTATAGTATTACAATTATATGAATGACAAAATGATTTTTAAAAGTTTTGTAATTTGATACAGGGTAAATATGCTTAGGGATGAAATCTAGTCTTTCAGATTCTATTTCAGTTCTTTTTCAATAACTCAGTTTTTCGAAAAAAGTATCAGCAGGACTATCTGACTTACTGGATGTGGCAGTGAAGAATGAGTCAAAATTGGTTTTTGAGGTTTCAAGTCTTGATTCTGAAAGAATGGTGTTACCTTGGACAGAAATCGAGAGTTAGAGAGCTGGTTTGGTATGATGTGGGGCCTTAATGAGTTTATTTTAGACATGTATATTTGAGGTACCTAGAACCTTAAATAGGAGAAAGTTTTTCCCATTGTTAATGACAGTTTAAGTTGTAGGAGATCTCTGGGAGAATCAATGTAGAGAAGATAGGGTTGAGTAGATTAACTTGGATGTCTGTAGTTAGGGAATAGGAGGAGGTAAAAGAGAGAGGTCAGATATAAGCGGAGAGTAGGCTAGTGCTATAACACAGAAATGAGAAGTACAAAATTTCAAAGACTCAGTGGTCACTAATATCAAAGGCTAGAGATGTCAGTGAGATTGGAGGCTGAGGAAAAACCCACAGATGGTCATAAGTCGCTTTTAGGGAAGTGGTTTCAGTAGGTTGGAAGTTGGAGCCAAATTGCACTTCTTTACTTTTTATGAAAGCAGAAACAGAATCTGGCTTCTTATAATAAATTGTGACAGTGTACTAAAGAATTGTATATGGTGGGCTAATTATCTATTAATGGTTCCTGTTCCCCAGGAATGAACAGTTTATGTCACATCTGCACATATCTATATGTGCATTAGTAGGTCATGTCCTCAAAGCCTAATGGAATTGGAATTAAAGAACAAACATTCACACACACACACACACTCCCTCATTCCCTTAAAAAAAAAAAATCAGGTCTGAAGAAAGTACTTTTTCAATTTCCTCAATGACTTACAGAAATGGAAAAAACCAGCCTTGCTAAGGGCTAAAGTTAAAGACATGGTAGGAGTTAGCTCAGTCAAAGCAATCTTTTTCCTTTGTTAGCTACTTTATCCTCTTCTGGCTGCTGAAGAAGTCAGCCCCTGATTCAGGTAACCTCAGTAGCAGGAGGTTGAAAGTGATGTGAACAACCTAATTAGCATAATAACTATCATTTCCAAACTAAAGACCAGAGATAGGAACCCTTAAGAGAGCTAAGGCAGATTCTTTTCAGTATTAGAAAAGACTAATTTTCTCCTTTTTTGGGATCTATGTCTCTACTTATAGCCCAGCTGTCTATAATCTATCTATATGGAAATATTGTTAAAAGAGATTAATGTTAACCAAGTTTTACCCAGCTTAAAATCTAAGAAGATAATTCAGAAACATTTAGTTTAAGTTTTTAATGTATTTGGGGGAAATAGAAATCTTCATTCTTGGGTTAGGATAAAGGATTTTGTTAATTAAAGAGTGCACTGGGCTTAGTGTGCCTAGTTATTATACTTCTTCAAGACTGGCAGTTAGTTGGAAGATGATTTCATAATAGCACCTGAGATAATTAATGTATCTCTCCAATTAATGTATCTCTCTGTTTATAGCCTTGATTTTGTCAATGGGTCGAGTTACCTGAACACGTGCATCTCACTGTATACTAGCATCATTTATATGGTGTACCCTTTTAAATGCTAGCTTATGTGCAGTGCTGCTGATGAAATTAATGAATTGCCAGTCAAAGTAAAGAAAATGTGTATGTTGGCTCTTTACATAAACTAGTATTTCTAGGTCCATATATCACTAAGGTATGACATCTCACCTGTAAAATGTATATTTATACCTCTATAATCATAGAAATTGGAGACTGTAAATAAGAGATGAATGAATATGAAATTATCAATGTCTTTTCCTGTTATTGCTTTTACTCTTCAAAATCATGTGGAGATTATTACTTTATTTCAGTGAAAGCTGCTGAAGAAGAGGAATTGCCTTTATTCAAGCATTTTCTTCCCAGTTTCATAGGCTTACCCCCCAGATTGCCTTCCCTGGCTATTCTGTGTAAAGCCTGTGAGCCAAATAGTGATCTACGTGGTGTTCTTAGTATCCATTCCTACGTCTTTGCCATTGCTCCTGATTGTAATGCCTTCCCTCATCTCCTATCTGCTTACTTGAGTCTTATTTTGCTTTGAAGGAAAGGTGTAAAGCTTTCACTGAATTTGTTCTGTATCTCATTAACTGCTCCTTCTTCTGAGTGATTGTTATTTTCTCCTGTACCACTTGGTGCATAGCTATGCTGATTTGTATTTTTAAAGATTGCTGTAAAAGACATAGGAACATAAAATTTACCATCTTAACCGTTTTTTGAGTGTAAAGTTCAGGATTGTATATTGTAAAACTGAAACTCTATACTCACTAAACAACAACTCCCCATTTCCTCCTCCCCCAGTTCCTGGCAACCACTATCTTATATTCTGTCTCTGAATTTGACTATTCTATTATAGATACCTCATATTAGTAGAATCATACAATGTTTATCTTTTTGTGACTAGCTTATTTCACTTAGGATAACGTCCTTAAGGTTTATCCATGCTGTAGCATGTGTCAGAATTTCCTTCCTTTTTAAGCCTGAATACTATTCGATTGTATGTACAGACCACATTTTGTTTAACCATTCATCTTTTGATGGACACTTGGGTTGCTTCCACCTTTTCCTATTATAAATAATGCTTCTATGAACTTCGGTTTCTAATTTGTATTTTTAATATTTTATCAGCATGACTTCCAAATCTATATGTCTATTTTAATTTAACCTTTGGAGGGCAGAGACTGTGTTTTAAACCTTTGGAATCCTAAGTGCCTAGCATAGCATTGGACCTGTTGATAAACAGTGCTCAGTAATTGTTTCTTGATGATTAGTACAGAGATTTACTTTCAGTTAACTCTTTTTCATTATTTTTGGCTCTTTGGGGACAACTAAATAGTCTTTTAATCATAAGTTGAACGAAGGCAAACCTAAACTTTCCTTCCAAAATATATTAATCTTGGAAATTTTAGATAATTACTCAAAGATAGCTAAGAAGTTACTTTCTCTAGGGATCAGTTAACTTTCCTGATCATTCTCAGTTCAGTCATTTGAAATGGAAATGATGATTAACAAGAGTAGTCAGATTTTCTGAAAGAAAGAACAGCTATTTTGTTGGTCTTTTGCATAACATATAAGAAAGTTTTTGAGTTGGCTACTCATAGCACTCTATTTTACAGAAAAAGATCTTGGATAAGTCTTGTTTTTTGAAATTATTCCCAATTAACTTTCTTTTCTAAACGTTTGAGACTCATAATGTTCTACTTTTTAGGAAACTAAGAGCAAAGACTTTTCAGAATGAATGATTATCTTCTGATATACACACGTATGCACATATAAATGCAAATGCCTATATATTAATATATCAATCGGAATTTAGGTATATGTATATATAGATATCTATAGCTATATATTCTGATTTCTTTCCTTTTCCCCACTTTTACCTTCCAATACAAGTTCTCTATTTACACTGTTTTGAAAGGACACTATCTTTATTTGATCTTCTAAGAACTTAGTTTGGTGTCACTACTTTTTTTGGATTATGTTTTCTAATTGCAGCAGACTCAAAATTTGAGAATCTATGGGATTTATTTTAATTTTTTTGTGTTTGTTCATTCACTCACTTATCATATATTTCAGTATGTACTGTGTATCAGACACTGACTGAATGCCATGTGCTGTGGACCTTATTCCATTTTCAGTGATGCCATATGAAAGTTGTCATCCCAAAGGACAGGATGTTTCATAAAATGTGTTGTTAATATTAGCAAACACTTTAATCAGTAACTTTAGTTTTAAATCTTTGATAGCAGTTACATGAAAAGAATGTTATGTCAGAATGTATTGTTATGGAGTTACCAATAAAAGGAAGAAGTTGAAAAAAAAAAGTGTTGTCATGTTGCCATTGTGTACAACGTGGGTGGTTCTGTGTTAGAGGCAAATGACTGTTCACTTTTTACTTTTAACTGTATCAGTATAAATTGTCTAGAAGGCAAGGTGGGAGGCAAAACCTTGAACACTGTCCTTTCTAATATGTTTCTAAGTTCTTTGTAGCACTACCTAGACCATATTAGAATGCATTGACCATCAAAGGGAAAAACTAGAAATCCAGATAGATACTTTAATCCAAATTAGCTCCTTCAAAACAGCTTAGATAGAGGGCAAACTAAACTGTCACAAGCTGACCCTTTAGAAGGAATAATGGGACTTGGACCAGCAGATGTTGAACCAAATAACTTAGATGTGGTTCACTTTGCATCTGGAGCTATTTGCATATAAAGCCAACAGGAAAGTTCAAACATTTTTCTCAAGACATTGGCAGAGAACAACCTGGAAGACAGATGCCTTTTTGATTTCATGGTTCAGTTTTCCATTCTCCATTCTCCTGTCCAGGAAAACCTAGGACAACAAATCGGTCATTTTATTAATATCCCATTACTGTCCTTGCTAACCCTGTTTTTCCAGTAGAATCTGTGTTACACATCTATGAGAGCTCAGAACCTGAGTCCACAAATTTTTTGTTTGAGGAAAAATTGTTTCGATATTTTTCTTCAGATTAATGTGTGGTTTGTACATAGTAATAATAAACATCAATCAAATTCATTGGTCTCATCTATATTTGAGGTAAAATATGAAAGTGACTCATTACATAGTCACATATGTGCATTATAATAGGCAGTATGGATAATGTTTGAAAACTTTTCACCCTTTCTACTTTCTATCTACATTAGACATTTTTGTTAGGTTATAAGCCAGGTTTCTATTGTAGTGTATTAATTTCATAGTATCTTTACTCAGATTATTTGAATGCGAGTTTGCCACATATCTTCTTTTTGCTACTTCCTGTATTTTCTTTTTACGTCCCAGGTTATTAACTCACCTTCTTTTACTTTGGAGCCAGTTCTTTAAAATGATACTTAAGATGATAGTTTCTATAAGGCTGTACATTATTACTGTACATATAAGTATTAGTCCTGATGTGGGTTTTCAGTAATTGTGGAAGTTCATGCCTTCGTTAAAGCATACAATAGGGAATACACCAGTGATATTTCTTATGATTCTGAAGATTAGGTTTATAGTATGGTTCACAGTCAAATATCCCGGACTGTGGAGTGAAGAGTTCTGGCTTTGTCTTCAACTTCTCTGAAACTCAGTTTGCTAATCTATAAATTGAAGGATTCATGTAAATATTCTTCTAAATTTTGAGTTTTGAGTTTATTTTTAATTTTATTTTCTGGTTACAATATCTGTAATATGAGTAGCTTCCACCAGGTGAATCATGGTGCCTGGTTTTAACTGCACGGTACAACTGACACAGTACTGATCTAGTAAATTACACTTGTTCTAAAAACATAGCCATAAACATGGAACACACATATTAATATGAAGAACTATAATACTTAAGAGAAACTTTTTCATTTTATGTATATTTTAATTATCATTTACTGTTTACACTGATTTTTCTTACAGTGTGTGTGTGGTTTTTTGGGGGCTTATTTATATATTTACTTGAATTAATTAGTTATGTATTTATGGTCCTTGACAGAGTAACAAGCAAAGGAAAACAGTCACCTTGACTGCTTAAATTAAATTATGCAAGCTTTAAAACAAAAACCGAAGTGTCCATTAGCACTAGTAGACTCTGTTAGCCCTCTTTAACCTAGGCAGTTGTTTCTTACAGTATTTTATGGTGCCATCTTTATCTGTTCTGATTCTGAATTTGCTTTTTAAAGACTGCAATGTGCTTTTTAGGATATTTTAGAATATATTCAAAGAAAAATAGTTTAAAAGAGTGTTTTGGGGATTATCCCATAATATTAAAGCATGAATGTTTGGCAGCAAGTATTTTGTATATAATGATTAATATACTACTCTGACTCTTTATCATTATAACCTTAAAATAGCAAAAATAAAAGGCTATATTTGGCTCAATAAGAGTAGGAATCATTGACTAACATTCTTCTACCAATATAAACATTTCTGTTTAGGTATTGAATTTGAATTACATTTCTTTGTCTTCAGAAAATATAGTTTTTATAGTTTTGACTGACAGGCAGTCACATACATATATGAAGTAAAAGGGCATGAATGTAAAGGGAAATAATACAAAGGATATACAGTGAAAAATTTTCTTTTATTACAGTTTTCTAGTCTCACTTCTGATACAACTAGTTTTACAGTTTCTTTTGTGACCATCCAGAGATCTTCTAGAAATGTAAAAATGTGTACTGTCCTTTTTATACAGATGATAATGTATTATATATACATACTAATACCCCTTGCCTTTTTTCCTACAATAACGTAAAGAATTTTCTACATAAGTACTTATAGATCTTCAAAATTTATTTTTGTGGTTGCATAGTGCTCTTTTTCATGAATGTACCATTATTCATCTAACCAGTTATTTTCCCTTCAATTTCTTGCTGAAACAAACAGCCCTATAATGAATATTCTTGAATGTATTTTCAGCAAAGCTATTTTAATTAGGGTGATAATTTATATTGTTTCTGTGACTTAAGATTATTTAAAATTAGTGAATAGTTTACTTATTAATTTTACTAACATAAGCATAGAGCAAAACATGCTCTTTAACTCTGAATAGTGTCAAATTTTATATTTAAGGTCACACATGAGAAAACACTGGCCATGTTGAAGGAGATAATAATTTTATGACTACATTGAAAATAAAGTCCTACTTTGACCATGGGCATGGTAGTTTCAAATGCTCTTTAGTTATGACATTGAATTTTTTTATGTGTAAAATAATGTTCATTGAAACATTGTTTATGATGGCCCCCATCTAGAACAACCAAGATATTCATCAGAAGTAGAAAGTTTAATATTTTGGGTTGTATTTATATAATAGAACACTGTACACCTGGAAAATTAACAAACTATAGCTACATATAATACCATGGAAGAATCTCATGAACATATATACTGTCCTCACAGTACCTTTAAGAGATCAGTAAGAGGTCTCAACTGACAGACTGTTCTATCATGTAATAGTAGATTCTGTGATATCAGATCCTTCACACAATATGTGAAGTGTAGAATGTCAGCCTCCCCTTGGGGTTTTGGGATTCTTGTTCTTCATTAGAATGAGGAATGCATTATTTTGGTTACAGAGTCAACCCAGGACTGGTTCAGAGCAAGTCCCCATCTTCCAAAGTGCAGAAGTCATCATCCTGCTCACTCAATTGGGATGGCATGGGGAGGGGAGGGGAGGGAGGGAGGGAGGTGGGAAGTAGATTTTAGATATAAGAACTATGGATGAATAGTACAATATGGGACTAAGAAAAATTTTAGGGCTTGACCTAAAGTCTCTGGTATGGTGGTCAGAGACCAAGGCTGAACCTAAAGCAGACAAAAAGCCTCCATCATTCAGCTCTTCACCCATTACCCCTGAGATTCTTGTCCTGGACTCTTAGGCCTGACTGTGGCTGGAAACAGTAAATTCTTCTGCTGTGGGAATTCTCAAGTGGCCAGATAGAGGGTTGAAAGACCCACCGAAACTAAGACTTACAGGATAACTAGAGGCTGTGACTGATGTGCTATACACACAGTTGGCTTAATGTCTCTGGACATGATGCCCTTAATGAATACTATTAATATTATTGCTAATGTGGATTAAAATCAGTTTGCACTTTGTGCTCACCTAGGATGAGTTTTCAGGCACTTCATCCAAGGTTAGGCCTTTCAACTTCTCATTATAGCATCTCCAACTCTTGGTATTATTCTTGCTATTACTCTTGGAAGTATTTCTGGTGCTTCCTCTTGTGGGGGAAGTTAATCATCATGATTTCTTGAGATTCTAGAATCTTGTAATACTTTTGTGTACCTGTTCCCTCCTTGTGATTATCTGTTCCACATCCCATCTATCAGAGAATTCCGTAGTTTCTAAGTTCATTTAAACATGGGAATCTTTTCACTTCTCTCCACTTCCCTGCTCTTTCCACTTCCCAAAAGCCATCATAGCTTTCCTAGGTGACTTCCTCAGCTGTTTCCCTGCATCCACTCTAACTGTCCTTCTTAGTTCTTTTAGTGGCACCTTTTAAGAGGGCTAGGACACAGTGAATGACCTCTAACTGTTGACTATTTGTGCCATTTGATTTTAAAGTTTAGATATGCTTAGGATTTTTTCATTTTTGTGGATTCCTGAATATCAAAGCCTGAAACATTATTTAGCTATAATTTTGGAGGTTGTAATTTGGAGCCTATTATGGTATTCTTATGAATCTCTTGTAATTTCTCCATGGAGTACTAAAGGTTTGTATCTTATTATTTATACAGTCTCCTGAATAAATCATATAAATTAATTGCATTTATCAAATCCTGCATGATTTGGCATTGCTTTTTTGCCTAATCAAAGTATTTTTTAATCTGATTTCTGCATTAATTTACATGATTCTTTTGGCTTACAGCTATTTATGTGTTAAATTTTTCTTCCTTATTAAAAAGCATTGCTGAAATAAAGCTGTAACAATTTTTAATATTTTCATTGTGGCTATTTCCTTCATTTACATTAGAATTGAAAATCTAGGTTTGTTTTTTTTTGAAGTAAGGTTGTTAAAGGCTAGTTTTATTGTGGCCCTCCTCAGATAGATTGTTTTGGTTGCTGGACTTTGCCAAGTAATTTTAGGATAAATAACACAGAGACTGCATAAAATAGTTAGAACAGAAAGATGTTTAGGTATATACTTTAGAACTGTGAATAAATAGTGAAATTTTTACCAAATCTTAATCCTGTAGAAAGTTTGCTTAAGCCATGAAAGTTTTGATCATTTTGAATATGTCAAGTCTGAGGTCATAGAAAAGTGAGTAAAAGGTGATTCAGCTGATTTGGAGGAAATTTTAATTCAATTTGGTTGACAACACAGAATTGACAAGACACTGTAATCAAATATTAGGTTATTAAGTATGGAATGTCTGATTTCCTAAGTACTAAATTTGACAGTTGATATCTCTGACATTTCATTTTGACACTTTTTTTTTATTGTGAAGGTACCGCCTCATTCTTTCAGTGCACATTTTGGCTTGTGATCTTTCACATTTTTTTTAGAGCAATTTTTGTGAAACCATGGATAAATCAAAAATTCGTGTAATTTTTTAATATGAATTCCATCCTGGAACCAATGCAGTGCAGACAGCTCGAAATATCAACAAAGTGTTAGGGAAAGATGTTGCTAATGAACACATAGTATATCGATGGTTTGAAAAGTTCCATTCTGGTGATTTTAATCCAAATGAGCTATGTGGGTGACCTGAGACCAACATGGATAATGATGAACTGAAAGTTGTAATGGCAACAAATCCATCTCAACCTATGTGTGAATTAGCAGCAAGGTTTGACATTACTATTCCACAATATTGGACCGTTTGAAACAAATGGGCAAAGAAGCTGGATAGATGGGTACCACATGAATTAAGCGAGCATTAGAAGAGAATTATCTTGAAGCTTGCCTTTCTTTGCTGTCACATGTAAAGGTGAACCATTTCTACACCTTATTGTTACATGTGATGAAAAATGGATTCTTTTTGACAGCTGCAAGGGTTTGGCACAATGATTGGATAAAGATGAAGTGCTGAAACACAGTCCAAAACCGAACACTCATCAAAAAAAGCTAATGGTACCTGTTTGGTGGTCCAGTGTGGATATTGTCCACTGTAGCTTCATGAAACCTGGTCAGTGGGTTACAGTGATGTCTACTGCAACCAATTGGACTAAATGATGAGCGTGTTTGCAATTAAGCAACTGAGATTGGTCAACAGAGACCAATCTTCTTTCAAGACCACATGTCACAAAAAAACAATGCTGTTCAAACTACAGCAGCTGCACTTGGAAACTCTTCTGTCATCTACCATATTGACTAGACCTTGCACCAGCTGACTACCAGTTCTTCCAGGCTTTGGAGCACTTCTTGGAAAGAAAAATATTCAGTTCTCAATAAGCTGTGGAAAACGCTTTTCACAACTTCATTGCCACATGCTCCCCAGGCTTCTTCACTGCTGGCATAAGCAAGCTACATTTGTGTTGATAGTTTAGGGTTTACTTTGATTAATTGTACTGCTTCTTGTTTCAGATGTAATAAACTACACTTTTGACTTGAAATCGGACATTTCATATTTAATGACCTAATATTACATATAGTTTGGTTATTCCTAGCTATTGCATTGTAGCTAGGAAGGCTATCGGACACAGAGTTTAAGTCCAAGTAGGGATTAGCAAGACAAAGGCCTAAAATGTTTAAAGAGGCAGGGCTTACCTAAAAGCTTTGCCACAGAGACAGAGGGAGAAAGAGAACATCTTAAGATCTTCTCAAGTGTTAATCTTTAGCAATGTAGATACTCTCTCAATTTTACATTTGTTTTAGGATATATTAGTTTTTCTTTTATGGTTTTTTATCTTCTGTGCTTTATGTTTTGGCTTTATTTTACTTTTTTCTGAATTTTAAAATTTTGATGCCTATCTCGTTAATTTTAGATATAAACGTTTAAGGCTGTAATTTTTCTCTTCGATTACTGCTTTTTACCGTATCCTGTCAATTTTGATTTTTTAATTTCAATTTTCAGATGAATTGATCTTCATTTTAGAAGTATTTCTTAATTTCCAAGTGTCGGGATTTTCTAGTTATTTTTATTGTTATTGTTTCCTAATTTGATTGCTTTCTGGCCAGAGAAAGTAGTTTAATACAGAATCTTTGTAACTGATGAGACATGCTCTGTGGCAGAATGCTATTTGAGGATGAACAGCATTGACATCTCCTGGGAGCTTGTTAAAGGTGTGGATGTGTAGGTCCACTTTAGACCTCGCATATGAAGTATGACACTCAACTCCAGCATACATGTTAGTTTTTATTAATATTAAATTATTCAAATCTTATAAATACTTTCATGATGGTAGATTTATAAACTTCTTGTTGAAGTTCTGTAACTTTTCACTTTGTTTTGAGATTATATCATATTTAAAATATTTGTTTGGTGTATTGAACTTTTATTACATAGTGATCTTTTTGTCTATAGATATTTTTTGTCCTCAAACTGATTTTTTTCTGCTAATAAGTATATCAGCCTTATTTTGGTTAGAATTCACCTATTAATAGTATTTCTTTTTTTCATTCTTATGCTTTTTAACCTCTTTGTATCCTTATGATTTGTAGATACACTATTCATAAAGAGCATAAAGCTAGATTTTGTTTATTTATCCAGTCTGACAGTCTTTGTCTTTGCATTGAAATATTTGGTTCATTTATATTTTAAAGTAATTACTGGTACACATATGTGGTTCTGTCTTCTTATCATCTTAGTTTTGGCTATTTGTATTGCCATTTTGTTTTTCTTTTTTACCTTTTTTTCTGAATAAGCTTACTTAGATTTACCTTGTATTTTTATTTTTTAGGTTTTGTGTTTTATTAACATTTGGATCAATTTTTATGGATACATAATAGTGTCACATATTTATGTGGTACATGTGGTATTTTGATACAAGCATACAATGTGTAATGATCAAATCAGGGTAATTGGAATATCCATCACTTCAAGCATTTATCATTTTTTTGTTTTATGAATGTTCCAGTTTCACTCGTTTAGTTATTTTGAAATATACAATAAATTATTATTAACTATGGTTGTCCTATTGTGCTACCAAACACTAGGTCTTATTCCTTCTTACTAACTGTGGTTTTGTGCACATTAACTATTTCTTTTATTGCCTCAATTTTCTCATTCCTTTTGCTCCTGCTCTACTATTTTGGAAGTTATATACTCTGTTTCTCTTCTTTTGGTGGTTTCCCTAGAAATTTCAACAAACATTCTTAACTTATTAAAAATATAAAGCCAATCCATATCTTTATCTTCCTCTTGAAAAATACAAGGACTGTGGAAATTTGAAATTTATTAATTTCTTCTGTTATTACACTGTTGTGTAGTATTTTATATGTGTATAATATATGGATATTATGTATGGCATAAATATATATTTAATATATTATATATAAATATATAGGCTTATATGTATAATATATATATATTAATGCCACAAGACATTGCTATTGGCATTATTATGTTTGTTTGAAAATACTTATTCTTGTCCTTATTAGTTTCACCTAATTTCTAGATTGATAGTATTATCTTTTCTCTATTATTTTTCACTGTCTTCTGATTTCCCTAATTGTTTTTGGGAAGCTAGTTGGTTCCATTAATTGTTGCTCCTTTGAAGGCAGTTGGTCTTGTCTTTCTAGCTCAGTAGGTGATTAACTCTGTGTAACTGGCGTTCTGCACTTTCACTGTGATATACTAAGTATAGGTATCTTATTTACCTTGATTAGAATTTTTTGGGCTTTTTGAATGTATAGGTTGAATCTGTAGAGTCAGGTGGCCCAACAACTAATAGATTCAAGAAGCTCAACAAACTAATTACAGAAAGTTCAATTACTTCTGAAAATTCTCAATTGTTGTCTCTACCAGTATTGGTTTTGTTCTATTCTCTTTCTCCTTCTGGAACACTGGTTAGATAGCAATTTTTTTCCTTCTTTCATTTTTTTACTCTACTATGTTAATCTTTTTCACATTCTGGCTGTGCTACAATCTGGTAATTTTAGGTATAGCTTTCATTTGACTAATTCTTCATCATTGTTTAGGCTGATGTCAAACTTGTCCATTGAGTTTATAATTTCAATTTTCTTTTTTCCTTTCCTTTCTCTCCCTTCTCTTCCCTTTCCTTCTTCCATCCCTATTTCTCTTCTGCTTTTCCTTTTTTCCTTTTTCTCTCTTCCTTTCCTGATTCAGTGCACTATTAAATGTAAGACATTTTCTTTCTGGCCTTTTAGGATGGGCACATAATTTTTAGGTCACTCTTACCTTGAGAGTTTAGTCCTTTGGGATCCCGGATTTATGAGGGAGGCTCTTGAGTAGATCCTGAAATGTTCTTTTGTCTTATGTTTCCTTGAGGTCGTGAAAATCAAAGCTGGAGTTTACAAAGTTTGGAAAATATATTTGAGGGTAAAATTTGCTTATCATTCCTTGTTAGTTTCCTTAGTTTTTGCCCAAGTATTTCTTATTCTTTTGACTGATCCTCAAGTTGATTTTTTAAAATATATATATTGACCTTTGTTGGTTTCTATGGGTGGTTTAGCCAGGTACCTACTCTCTTATACTTTCAGAAACAGAGATTTTAAGTTTTTTTTTTTTAAAAACTCTTTATCAATATAGTTTACTAATCTTATTTTAGTTATGGTCAAAACCGAAAAACTATTTATATAAAAA